CCCCCAGGAACGAGGTATGCTAACTTTTGCGCTATCTGGTTTATCTTGCCTTTGAAGGATTCTAACTTGAGCTTTGGAGCCCTTACGCCGGGTTCTCCTTGGAGCTTCTCTTCTCCTTCCGTTTCAGGTCCCTGTTACTCAGTTCAGAGGCAAGATCATTGACAGCTAAGACTGCCAGATTGTGCATCATCAAGTTCCGTTTCACCCTAAAATCATTTTTTGGTAAAAAAATATTGATTTGGTCAACGAACCACTGACATAGGCGGTTGAACCGTCAATCTAAACAACTATTTTTTTGGCTTTTTTTTAAATCAGAATGGGCCGTTGTTTCGAACTGGATGGTTGGACCATTCGATCCAGGAACCAGTCCCAAAACGGTTCCTTGTTCAGTCCAGTTTTAAAAACCTTGTTTCCAACCAATCTATTTTAATATTTTTGAATCAATCTTTGGAAGAGGTAGCTGCTGTCTGCTTTTGCTTGGACAATGAGACACAGAAAGAAGCTAAAATAAACAAGAAGGAAGACCCATGAAAGGAAGGATATAATCTGATTTTTCCCTCCAAAAACTGAAACATAGAAGAAGAAATGGGGATTGGGGAGTGGTGGAGGAACTCAGAATTTTATAAAGTATTGAAATAGTGGCACTAGATGGGTAACTTTGCAAATTTTCTTCCACTCCAAATGTAATTAAATAAAAGAAAGCAGGGCAATCTTATCATTTTAAAATTATTAGAATTAAACGATTATTCTATCTTGTTTTGCCCCTATAATTATTTCAGTATCAAGACTATCGATTTTATGTACACGTAACACGCCTGCGTTTTGCAATTTGCACCGGTAGATTTAGGAATATGTTGGGGGCCCATTAAGATTTAAGAATGGTGGTTAGGATTCGAGGCAGAGTACTTTGTAAGTGAGGACTCGTTTGGGAGGATTGAACTAGAAAAATCAGCTAAGCTGATTCAATTACTTTGAAGCCCTCTGGATAAATATATTGTTGAAAGAGGTCGAAGCAGGCTAAGCATACTGGCGGGTCCATGTGTAAAGAATACTGGTCTGTTCCTCTTATAGGCTGTGTAGTCCACTTTGTTTCCAGTCCATCAAGTCCCCTTCAAATGGATGAATGACAATCGATCTAGGCTTTCTGGATTCTTCACCAAATATGGTTTATAGGTTGTTTTTGTGAGGCTTACATTGAAAAACCAGAAGTCATTGTGCTTCAGCCCTTCCAATTTCCAAACGGGCACTGAGAGTCTGTTTGGGAGGTCTTCAGCCTTGATTGAGTTACGTTCACTTTTTCACTGAGCTATTTTGAAGAAACTATTAGAACTATACCGGAAAATCCATTTCATGACTGAACCAAAGTATATGCAAGGTTCAAAATATTGATACACGCCCACTGTATTGAGTTTTTCTTTTATTTTTTATTTTTAGTTTTTTTTTAAACTAATTTAAAGAGGTCGGTTTAAGGCCCATTTACCCCTCGAATCAAGTAAAACCGTAAAACACTAAAATACCCACTGTAAGGGCGTATTGGGAGGGTACCGATATGTATATATATTTTGAACTTTGAATATATGACTTACCTTAGAAAGCCAGAAGCCCTTGTGATTCAGCCCTCCTAAACGGGCATCGAGAGAGTCGGTCTCGGACAGTCGGACGCATCAATGCCAACGAGGAACTATTGGGCTCATTATCTAAGGTTTCTATCAGAAAGCCCATGGCATCTGGCCCATCGCAGAAGCGAAAATCTTTGTAGACACGTAAATTAGTTGGCAAAAGTGTTCTTTAAGCAAGAGGACTAGAGGAGGTAATTAACCAGACAAAACCATCTGTTATTTTGCCATTGTTCAGATAAAAATAAATAAAAGTAATAAATAATAAAAGGTTTAAAGGGGGAGAAAAAGCCTAAAATTCCTAAATTTCCTGTAGCTGTGTGCATGAGTGCGCAAAGCAAAACTCGGAGAAACTTATCGACAGCTTATAGACGCTAATCTAATCGTCTTCTCTCTCACAGAAAAAAAAAATCATCTTCTCTCTCTGTAGTTTTGAAAGGAAAAACAGAGAACAAAATTCTCTCTCTGTAGTTTTGAAAGGAAAAACAGAGAACAAAATCCGTTTCAGCGTTTCTCTCTCTGATTTCTCGAGAGACAGCGACGACCGGAAACCGGCTGGATAAGGACATGCGAAAGAGGTTTGCTGGTAATCCTCTCCGGATCATAGTGGAATATTCCGAATCAGAGAGCGAGTTTTTATTGCTCTTCGATGGCTGCATCGGACCAGTTCATGCCCACAGGGGGCCCTCGTTACGTTCAAATGCACTCGGAGCCGTCGACGATACCCTCCTCTCATTCCTTCCGGCTAGGCTCCGGACCGACATGGATTTTCGAAGAATTGCCCAAGGCGACGATCATCTCCGTCTCTCGGCCCGATGCCGCCGATATCAGTCCCATGCTTCTGTCCTATACCATCGAATTCCAGTATAAACAGGCACGAACCGTTTTATTTTCAATGAGTTACTGTTCTTGATTTGATTTTTAACTTTAAATTGTGCTGAGAATTTGATATTTATTGTTTTCATAGGAAATTGAACAAGTAGGGATGTAGTTCCGGCATTAAAGGTTTAGGTTCGTAGTCCTTTAGATTTGAAATAAAATACATTGTGCCATTTGCAAAGTCAGCCCCAACAAGTTTCAATTTATTTTTTTCCGGAAGCACCTTTTTTGGTATTACGCAAGTTGTATCGTAAAGAATACGACTTATATGCGATTAATTATTTTTTTTTCCGAAAAATAAAGAAACTTTGGATGTGCTTCATAATGTAAAATTTCATTACTTATATGAAACCTTAATAACACAAGGGTCATGCCAATTAGATATGGAAACAGTAGTTCATTCCCCGTGAGGTTTGTATTGTGCTGATGCAGAAAATGCAGTTCATTCTGTATAAGTTTAGCACCCTGCTGATTGTCAATTGCCATGAAATCGGCTGAATATAAGTTGTTTAAATCCTTTCAATTTAGTTGTTTTAGTTATTATTGGCATATTACTGAAAACATATTTCAATTTAATATTTTCACATGTATAGTTGAACGTGCGTTAGTCGGTTGTGATAAATGTAGTGGAACCAAATGTTAGAGGGGATAAAGAAAGCATTGTGTAGCTGGAACATCTAGTGTAGTTGATAAAACAACTTTCACTATAGCTGGCTTACCAATTTTGATGGGTGGTGCTTTAAGAAAACTGTAAAATTGCATTTACTTGGGATTTATCATCAGTCAGTGTGCTACTACTATAGGATAAAGCATTAAATCACTGAGGGACTATGGTTATTTCTTAATTGCTTTAACTGATCCTGGACTGCTGGCAACCATTCTTCTTTTGTTAAAGGTCCTGCTATAGGTAACATTATTATTACAGGAAAGAATTGCCACGCTGTAAAAAAGTTTGGAATCAATGTGGTTAATTAAATTTGATATAGAAAATCCTGGCTTTCTTAGGCATTTCTTAGATGAGATGTGAGAGCTGTAACATGCTGTACAACATGCAAACCCTCTTGTCCTTTTTATCAAGCGTGTTATGGAGAACAACACTCTATGTTGACTCTCAGATAAATAAGCAGCTTCAGATAAAAGAAAGTAGCTGGAAAGGGAGTACAGTGGACAAGATTTGCTTTGGATTGTTGATTCTTATTCCTTTCTACATGAGATTACATGCATTATGAAACATACTCACTTGAAGTTCTGATTAACCGAATAAAGTGCTTCTGCAAGCCATGGAATTAAATGACAGTTCCTGTTGAATGTGAAAACTGCTTGTGGAGTAAACAGTAACACATCTGTGTCTGTTTCATGGAATTTCCTGTTGTTATCCTTGATGCAAGTTTCAATAAATTTACATACCAAAGATAGTTTGCATCACTTATTTTTTATCTTCTGTAACATGGGTTTGTCTGAAAGGTGTCATTTCTCTTTTTTGTCAAATCCATAAAGCTGTGTTTGGATTGCAGGAGTAGAATTGAAATTGAATTCCACTGCCACCTCAATTTGTGAAATTCAAATGACTAGTTACCTCAGGAATTTCACGTCTGTAAAAAATGCAGAGTATGCTTAAAATATGCTAGCTTTTACATCCTCTCCTCTATGAAAATTAACCCAAAGATGCATCTGAACACTTATGGAATTGGTCTTATAATTTGCACACCCAATTATGTATCCCCCCTGATACAAACACAATCTAGCTGTTTTCTTCTGGCAGCAGGAAAAAGATTACCTGAATACTGTGGTAGGCTAACTGCATGCTTCTGTTCTCCAGTTCAAATGGACCCTACTCAAGAAAGCTTCTCAAGTTATCTACTTACACTTTGCATTGAAGAAACGTGCATTTATTGAGGAAATTCATGAGAAACAGGAGCAGGTTTGTCAAAATTTTCAATATCATTCTTTTTTTTGATCAATATCATTCTTCTTTTACGACATACTTTTCTAGCATTTCCTTGTTTCTAATATAGAGGTTTGGGATCTTCTATATTCATTTCCGACTTTCTGTTGACTTCTAAGTCTTATTTCTTTTACTCACATTTTGCAAATACTCAACTAAATCATCATTGTTGTTATTATTATTTTGGATGAGAGGAAGGGATTTCTTTCATTTTTTTTTTTTGATCAATAACACTTTCATTAATCATCAGTAGAAAATTTACAGGAGGAAGATAAACACACTTATCTTCCAAGAGTCACTAAGAGCCTCATAAAAGAAAGAAAAAAGAAGAAAAAGAGAAAAGAATACACTTAAGTTACATCTTGGCCCAAAA